TCACACTGAGAGGTGACCAAACGAAAAAAGTAACCCTAGAGCAACAATAAATTGGGCAGAATATGAAATACAATGTTAATATACTACATGGCATATTCTATGTGGCTTTGCTATGAATACTATTTACATAGTCACATAATGCAAATATTGACTATTGAGTTAACTGCTAAACACTAAGAATCTGATTTATGTAATTTTTTTGGAAGAAACGTTGTGTGTGTGTATGTGTACATAGGTATATGCTTATACATGTGGCTGTAAATACATGCTCTTGCAGAGAGAGGGCAGCATAAGAAAGCTCAATTTTTCTCCTGTGTTTTCCATTTTGGCAGGTCCATAGATACTGCTTATGACTGAATAATTAAGAAAGAATAGGATACCCATGTGATTCAGAAAATGGAGTAACTAACAGAAGGAACAGCTGAAATGTTAAATGGAGTATGGTATCTGGGGTTTACAATCTGAAGTATGGGAGAGCAGAACAAAATACCTGTTTTGGTGCAAGATTCATAGAGCTATCAAACTCTTTCAACAATAAGTGGTCTAATTTTGCTAAAAATAAGAATCAAAGAAACAATAGGTAGAATACTTCTGAAAATGAAGTAGTTCCTAGTGAAGAAAGGAAATGAATGAATGGCCATGGAACAGTTGTTTTTTTAATTTGTCAATTATTTTATACCTGTAAAATAAGTATGCCATGTGTATATATAATCTATTCAAAAATTAATCATATGATATATAAAGGGAAAAAACACAGAGACTATGATGTTATATAATCATGCCCCTCCAGAATATATACACAGTTTCAATGAAATGTTGCCTGAAATACAGGCACAAAATAGACCATAAGTACGTGTGGGATACCTTGAAGGAAATGTCATATAATGAACTTATCACCTTCCATCTTACGGTATTCCATTATGAAATATATAGCTTAAAAGTTGAAATTAGTATCTCTTGAAAAACTTTTGCTGGACACTTACCTACTTTTTAAATGTTCTATTCAATAGAAACAAATGATGCTCCATCTTAGTGATTTAATAATTGATTATCCTGAAAATTAACATTTTCAAGTTTTGATATTTTATGCAGTAAAGGCATTCCATTTTTTATATTATTTGTATTCCACCATGGGAGTTTATAAATATGAGATGGATCTATCCCAGAATAGCAACTACCTAGTAAATAGGTCCAGATGTTTAGGAGAACAACTTTCCACCTGCACGTCTGTAGGACTCCTTTGCCTTCTCCCTCTCCACCTCCCACCAAGTCCCCTTCTGTCATATCTTACTTGATGTAGTGGATGTGGATTAACTAGAGATATACAACAGCTTTTAAAAAATTGAATAATTACAGATTTTATCAGCATGGTAATAAAAAGTTTTATCTTTCAAACTCAGAAAACCATTGGGTGCTAGAAAACATTTAAATAAGTTTACATTTCTCACATTAAGATTCCCTGATTTTTCAAAGAATAATTCATACTGACAGCTACAAAGAGCTTTAAGGAGGGGAGTGTTTTTTCTTGTAATATACATAGTCCAATCTAAATGTAATGGCTGCATTTGAACCCACTTAGAGTTAGAGACATGGGGAAGTTTAGTTTCCTGAGTCCTATGTAATGTAAGCAGTATGTCTTTAGAGAAATCTGTCCTGTTGGGAGAAAGGGAACTCTAGTAATATCTTGAATGTACCCAAGGGTGGATCTATTCTTACGCAAATACAATAACCTCAGTTCTGTATAGGAAGCTCCCTTCTATGCATGATGCTGCTCCTGCGCCAAGCTACTGAGGGAGAGAAAAATGACTGTACGGTATGTCAAATTGATTCTGCCTCTCTTGTAGAGCGTGTCAAATACATTGCATTTTTCCTGAGCCCATTTAGATGGAGTATCATCCTGCTGTGTTCCTTTGGATCCTGTACAGACTTCTGATTGCTGAATTGTAACACTAATCATAATAATTATCTATGTAACAAGTTCACAATATGAATTGCTACAGATGGTCACATTTTCTTTCACAGAGCAATCAAGCTTATTTGTACAATCTACTTGCTCCCAGATAAAACAAAAGGCAACATGTAGGTTTTTGTATTTCATCACATATTATAAGCGGCAATTCAGGCCTAGTACATCAGAGGAAATGAGAGATGATAAGAGAGAGTGCTAAAGAACTTTTCAATGAAGCATATTTGGATTTTGCTATTAGTTTTACAGATATTATCATTATATATCTAATTAAATACTAAGGATTTGTTTTTTTTTCACAGCAAGCAATTTTGTTTTTCCTATCTAGAATCTGATATTCATTCTGACAAAAGAGGACATGCAAATGAATTATAATTCAAATATAATACTGTAAGTATAAGTTATTGAAATAGAATGTAGAGCAAATATATGACCTTCAAAAAAATGGTCTTCTAGGATTGACTGCAGCTGGAAACAGTTTACCCTCCCTGTCACTTCAACAATTACCATGTGGGCCTTTAGTTCCAATCTGGTCACCACTTACAGGCGGTGGCAGGACTGGGG